CAATTAATCAGTCAAAAAAAAAAAAAAACTAATTGAAATCTATTAACAATATTACTATATAGGCACAAAGAACTCCCAAACTAATTTCCTTCTCATTTTTTTTTTTTTTTTGCTCTTTTATCCAAGTAGTCAACAGGGTTTTCTTTACAACTCTTCTCCATGAGCAGGTAACCCAGAAACTTTGCATTGATGATAAAAACATCTGCCTGAGTACAAAATACAGGCTCACAGTAACAAGTGCACTTCAGAAACTAAACAAAGATTAAAAAAAAAATAGGTTGACTCATGGTTAATATGATCACCTTTACCCAAATTCTGGGAAAACACTCTTGGCTCTGTTGTGTAACAGCCCATAAAGAACAGTCATTAACAACATCTAGAAGATAAATTGTTATGTTTGCACTGAAGATTAATATGTTGATGGCTAAATTTGCAACGTATTCTGAGAAAATGGGAATTAATGCCCTGCAGAATGACGAGATTACAGCATTAATGCTGACATCAGCACCTTGTTCACAGTTTGATACAGAAATAGTTTGTTGTCATGGTGACCAAGCACACTACCCTGTATATTTGTTATTGGCACGTAATACATTTATTGGCAAAAAAACTAATAATAATAATAAATAAATAAATAATAAAATAAAATAGAATAAAATAAATAAATAACATAATAATGACGATAATAAACATAACTAATAAATAAATATAGAGATAATTGTGCAAAGATTTTCTTGATAATTCCATTTTCTTTTCAGACATCCAAATACTCTATGGAAAAATGCTACAGGACATAGAAAGCTGATGCCAAAAAAAAAAAAAAAAAAAAGTTTTATTTTACCATTCTGAATAATTACAAACCACATCTACCAATACAAATACCTTTAAAAAAAACACAGACATCTGAGGTGTTTTACTTAACATGCATTCCCATCTAAACCTTCAAGACTTACAAAACAATTCCTAGTTAATGTACAGAGAGTTCAGAACAAGGACAACCATTTATTTTGCCCTAGGGATGTTTATTGAAGTGGAAAGAAGAATTACTGGTTTGGATTTAAAAAAAAAAAAAACATGAAGAACTAGTATCCTACATTTACCAATTCTAGTCCCCATGTAAAGTACAAATGCCACCTCAAAATGTTGACTACCTGATCTACCTGGTCAAATTCTTGTCCAATTAGTATGAAATGTAAAATCCTAAACTAAAGAAATCCTAATCAAACACTTGCTGGGTAAACAGAAAGTCAGGCAAATTCCTGTCCAATTTGTGAGGGAAATGGATGGTCAAAACCTCACCAGGTAAGAGGAAAATTGAACAAATTCTTGCCCACAGCAAGTGCTATGAATACACATCCCTTTGGGTTTAAAAACAAGAAATTGAGACCAAAACCTTGCAAGGTAAATAAATAATCTGCTTTTATCTTAACCTCTAAGGCGGATAAACAATGCTCATCTTCAACTAAGATGATTGGCTGGTTTGGTTCCTGTGTATTTTCTCCTTACTTGGTTCATCCGCAATAAGTGCTCTGGGCAGGTATTACATGCAGCATGGATGGAAATGGCAAAGGCTGTGTGTGTGTGTGTGTGTGTGTATGTGTGTGTGTGTGTGTGTGTGTGCATGTGTGTGTGTGTGTGTGTGTGTTGGGGGGGAGGGGGCAGAGAAACTGTTACTTAACAAATACACTAGTCTAGAATAGAAAATTCACAGATTCATGAAGCCATTACCAGAAACAATGGCCACATAATAATGTGGATTTACTAAAAAATAAAAAATTAAATAATAAATAATAAAATAAAAACAGTGTGGTATAAAGGCTAACTTTTGGTTTAAAGT